CTCTGTACTGAGTGTCCTTCTGTAAATGTTGTAGATGTTCAGCTGCAGATTTTTGTTTTAATATAGCATGGCCTTGGGTCTAGTCAATAATAGAAATGACCAGGTTCCATATTTGGGAATTGAACTTTCTGATATCTCATAGTAAAGTACAGTGTAATTAATAGAAAAACTGTCTCTTGTCCCCATCTGGAAGTATGACCTCATCACACTGAATCTGAAAACCACCAGTACCAGCCTAGAGGCCATCAACCTGTAGCTCTCCACCCCCTTCCAAGTAGCTCACCAAAGTATTTATAAACTGTATGTATTGCCCTGAATAGCTCAAATTTTATTAATTAAATGCCTATTTCTAATGTAAATGCATAATTTTGCCTAATTTTGTGCACTGATGAGGGTATAAAGGTTTATGTTTTATAAGCATCTAACTGTACATCATCTAAGGCTTGCCATGGTTCTTTTATTTGCTCTGTTTCTGGTGACTGCTAAAATGAGTAGCCCTTTGGCATTTTCTTTTTACAGAAAGTAGCTCACAGGAGGAAAAAGGTTGGAGACCCCTGTTCTAGCTGTTTGGCCATCATATCATTAAATGTGACAGCCTGTCTTAAACCTAAAGATAAATGTTAGCCTACAACTTTACAGGCCATATGATTATTGTTTGGGCATGATGATTTCTACACTATATATGAAGAGGCACTAAGTGTACTGTTAAACTAAACCTACCTAACACACGTGAAAGACAAATAGTAATCTTTAAACCTGTAAGTAGATGGCTAATTCATTAATTGGATTATTTCAAGTAGCTGTTACTGGTCAGCAGTGTTGGGAAGTTAATTAATACATACACAGAGAAACATATTCATAATACTAATTTTAAGTAACTGTATTCAAGTACAGTTAGCCTGCTTTTTCATTTTGTGGTATTCACTTACTTTCCTAAAACCAAAGAAATATGTGGCAGTACTTGATCTCGTAAATAAGGCTTCAAACTGCACAGTGTTAAAGAGAAAAAATTAAAACACAGCTCTTGTGGTACAGTATGTGCAATGTGTAGCTCAAAACGTTTTTAATCCTTTATTGCATTTTGACACTATAATTTAAATGCAACTCGATGTAAAAGTATTCTAATTATTCTGAGTACAGTAGTCTGTTTGGACCAAGTACCAGAATATGTTACAAAATACATTTTAAAGCTGGTATTCAGTATTCTCTAGCTAAATACATTATCCTACAAGTATCCTTCCCATCACTTCCGCAATCGACCAGAGAAAGTGGGACTACAGATGAAGACGGGTGAGGGCTGACACAGACTACTCACACTCAGTGGCAGTGTGGAGTTCACTTATGCAATTGGCCGTATCTTACAATGGTGGATGCGAGATAACCCTTCTCTGCCACTTGAAATGCAATTATATAATGCATTTGGAGAGAGTCAGGCTTATTTTTTCCCACTTCCCCAGAATGCACAAGAGTTAACAGTTCTATATTACACAAAAATGACTTGTGAGCTTTATCTATGTTATAATGTTGTTACCTCATTAAAAACATACCTGGAGTTGTGTTTTGTTAAATTCACGTTTGTTTAAATCCACCTAGTGATGCCAAGAAGCTGTAGTTTTCAAGTTATCAGTCAGCTTTTTTACCTTTACTTCAGTAGAGATTGGCAATTCACATCTTCAGGTATGTTTGTGATGAGGAAACATAATTGTAACACAGATCAGAAAACAGCATAATAACTTAAAAATAATAAGAAATTTAAGTGAATGACACAGTAAACAAGACACATTTATACAAAAAGCAATTAGCCTTTTTTAATCTTACATTGCATTGAAAATTTACATAATAGATTCATACATTTTACAAATATTTCATCATAAAAATATATTTCTGTACAAAACACTTTTTATTCTATATTTTATTGTTTTTTTTCTTCAAATGGTGAATATTTCCAGTGTCCCCAGGCAGAAACGGTCAAGTCTTCCAATTCACATGGGTCTTATTGCGGTCAGTCAGTAGGACAAGCTTGTGGCAAAATAGAAGAAAATAACTTCAGATGAGAAGCAAAAGCTGAGCAGGTGTTACAGCAGTCCAAGTGTGTGTGCCTGTGACGCGTTTCATGAAAGGGAGGGTCTCATGGTTTTGGTAGGCACTGCGTCAGATCCATACCCAAGAAAAAGACACCAAATGACAAAAACGGCAGCAACAGTCAATCCAAAATTAATAAATCACCACAGCAACGCAACATTGTTATCTGACATGGGAACGGACACGGAATACCTCAGCTACGTTTGTTTTAAATGAGGACTTATGGCACGAGGGGCTTGGATAGTGGGGTTATAAAAAGTACTGTTATTTTCACCCATGTTGGCACCAAGTTATTTTAAACAGCTGAATGTGGCATCCATCCAAAAGGTCCATACTATTGCATTTTCTATTTTAAGTTGGCAGCCTTGTCTTTTGACTGATGGACTTATAGGCTTTTAATGGTTGCGTCAGTCCATTGCAGATCTAGCAAATACAATTAGTGTTTGTATTAATTAAACTCAGCTGAACGCTGATTCACTTGAACTTTCAGACTGAAAACTTCACTGTTGAATACAGAAAATGTATTAGCAAGGACACACAAGAGCTTCCATTTAAAAAGAGAGGATATGAGGCGTTTACACAGATATCTGACATCTCTCAGTAGTGCTTCATCAGTGGCATGTGAAAAGTCTGCCACAAACTGACAGGGGCTGAATGAACACTGTCAGATGTGAAACTATGGCACATAGCAGATCTGAGACAAAAACACAAGTACTAGCAATGGAACATTGAGCTGAGTTGATAAGGCTATTTTTCCCCATGTTTTTCTCAGATTGTAATAAATTTAGATTTGAATAATCTGATAAAACTATATTATTTATTTGGGGGTAAAAGAGAAGACCCAACTTGAAGCATCAGACCTACACTCTTCACTTTGTAAATAGTCTTGAATCTATTACTGTATTTGTCCTTAAAATAGATTCCATTTCAACACCTGCACATTTTAAGAAACAAAAATTAAATTGCAAAACAAACAAATTTACAAAAGACTTAAACAGACATTCACACTTCATATTGGGCAGTTCACCAGCAATGATCATTATTCTTTTTATAGCATACATGTTTATAGGGCTACCATTGCCTTCTAGACATCTCAGAGAATAAAATTCACTTTGAATTTTGAGCTGTACAATGTGGGCAGCATCACGTTACGTGAAGTTTAAAGTGCAGTTTTTGGCTGATCATTAAGACGCTGACATGAGAACATTGTGATGGACACCAGCTCAAAGAAAAGGACAAACTCTGTCTTAAAGTTCAAAGTTGTATGAAGTGCTCCGTCTAGTGTAAAAAGATTGGAATAAGTTTGAACCTGCTGATTGTTGCTGGTAAACCTTAAACGTCAACAATAATGACAACGACAGAACCACTGACACTCCTGATTGCCTCAGTGGAACCATAGCAACAATGGGAGAAACTTCACAAAAACTCAAACGTTACAAAAGAGCCGAAACTTCTCTGATATCACACATCTGTGGCATATTTCTTTTTTCCAAATATCTCTGATAATTCATCTCTCCCACACGCCCCTCCCTTCTGGTAAATATATAGCACAAAAATATAGATGGGTGAATGCTCCCGACTATATATGCAATAGATTTACAGATCAGAAGATTCTGCAGCAATAAACAAGAAAGAAGAGAAGCACTCATAGAGTGCAGAATGACAATGGACCTATGTCCACAGTAGTAGGACAAAACCTCCCAAAGTCTCCTCCCTCTGTCTGAGTCAGTGTCAGTGTCCATCTGTGCTGGACACGGAGGAGACGAGGGACAGTGGAGTCTGGAGACCCTGCTTTTACACCAGTCTTTGTCTTCATGTTTCCCTGTCAGAATGGAGCCACATGTAAACCTCAGATTCAGCTCCTGGTCTGTGACCTTTGACCTTCAGTCCACTCTGTGGCAGACAGGGGGCGCTCGTGCAGAATGTGCTTTAATGCCAGAGCTCTCTGTGAGTCCTCTGTGTCTCTCACAGGGTCAGGGCATCTCCATGTCTTCATATGGAGAGAAAACCCAGAGTTTAGGGGATTCGGCTCACACACACTGGGTGCATCAGATTTGTAGTTTACTTCCTGTTTGTCTTCTCATTTCAGCATTGGACACAAAGGAGCAATTTCTCTGCTGAGTCTGTCCAGTTAGTGCACACTCCTCTCTGTGGCTGCTTTAGTTCTGCTCCACTTTAATCCCACTTTAGTTTGGATTACGCTTCTGTCTTTAGGGTTTCATTTCCCACTGCCTCATAGTTAGTATTTTTAAACAACTTGCACTGCTCTCTGTGGTGTCTTAAATTCAATTTAAATAGAGAAAAATTAGTTTTACCAGCCCGTGGTTGTCATGGAGACATCTTCCCTATTGTTGTGGTTAAATGATGATTTACTACAACTCCCTGTCGTAGTTGTACAGAGCAGTGTTGCTTCACAGTGTCTTTAATGACATCTTCTTCACGCTCCAAACTGAGCCACACGACTCTTGGTTCAAGTGGGAAACAACAGTGTGACGTGTTACTGTATATGAGGGGGAGCAGATCCACTTAAAGGAAGAGCCACATTAAAGGTTAAAGTGAGCTCTTCTCAGACTCCCAGGTCAGACTGCTGCTGCTAAAGATGCAGGTCACGTCTAATGTGGGCTGTACTTGGTTTTATGTAAAGATGGCCAGTGTTTTCGGTAGAATCATTGCTCTTTCCTTCACCTGGGACTTTTTCTTCCAGTCTGTTTCATCAGAAGATTGCAAATACTTTTTATTCATGGAGTGTGGTTCTCCTTTTACTTTAAGGAAATTGGACTGAAAACTATTTCCAATCCATTTTTAGCTTTGTGGCCAGCTCTAAGTTGAAGCAAGCTGCTCCCACCTCCACAACTTTGCACCACGAGTGGTCCCATTAGATATTGGAGTCCTTTAATTCGAGTGAGAATAATCAATCCTCAGACCATGGTGCAGACAGTATTTAGATTGGGATCGAAGCGCACTGCTTTCCCCTCCACTGCCTTGGCATTGGTGTTGTACATGGGGTTCTCAAAAGCAGCTTGGCCGTTATTATTTTCATGGACTGAGCAGCCTGTGTACTGGGTTTTTGGTGTTGTTCTATAATGACAAGAAGAACAAATATTAGCATACAGGCAGGTGGAAACAGTCTTTCCAACACACATGTAAAATGACATTAGTGAAGCATCAGTGAGGCAGATTGCAGGTCGTATACATTTGCACATACACTCATGAGTTAAATATAGTGCCAACTAAATTTATGTCATTTCATTATTTGTGATTCATTTCTTCTCTGTCAGTGGTCTGTTTTTGGGTTAACACAAAAACAGAAAATACACTGTAAACAAGCTTCAAGGAGGATTAAGACTTTTTAGGAAGCACAGTGCGATGCAGATCTGCCCATCCAAAACTAATTCCTTTATAGTGGGCCTTTTCAGACACTTGCAGCTGAATAGTCACATCCCATGTAAGCAGTAGAGAAACTGGCCAAACGTGTTAAAAAAATCCTGTTTACTTCTCCCAAGTGGGCACTGTTTCACTTAACAGCCTGATTGATTCTTAACAAATAAACAGCTGGAGTATAAGCATTCTAAAAACACATAATGCTCCTTCATATTCTGCAGGGGCATGTGATGTTATTCATGTTGATTATGGCTCCTACCTTTGTTTGTAGAGATAGAAGCCAAAACCGGTGAAGATCAGAGCGAAGAAAGGCACCAGAATAGCGATAGCCACAGAACTACTGTTGGTACCGAGTTGAGGCGGTGGAGAATTATGACTCTCAGACATGTTTAGGCCTGTTATAGAACAAAAACAAATTCATTCATTCATTTTACATCAAGTAGACCTATTGTCTGTAGTGGAATGTGGTGTGATGTAGTGAAACGGCATATTACCTAGTCTTTGGAGTCCGAACTGTCCGTAGTCTTTTCCCTGAATGAAGCCTTGGAACACGTAACTGGAACCATTAGGCTCAGCAGATACCTGGACACATGCACAAACACATTATAACTAAGTTCATTATGAAAACATAAAGGGCAAAATATATGCAAATATTTTGTCTAGTACTGAATATTTAAAGGTTACATATTACACTACTGTATTTTCCGCACTATTAGGCGCTCTGGATTATAAGGCGCACTGTCAGTGAATGGTCTATTTTCAAACTTTTTTCACAAATAAACCGAATTGGACTTTAAACGAAAGACAACAGTTAGATAGGACTTTGTTTGGCGCATTCACAGTGACTCTCGGCTTTGTTCAGTTGTGGCGTGTAGGGAGGTTGCTGTCTGGGACCGCTGGATTGTTGGCGTGTTCGCAGTGACTCAGTTGTTCAGTTGTGGCTAGAAGTGGCATATTGCACTCGCTTTTTCGGTTCGTTACTCCGTTCCATTCTGCGTGAAGTGATGACGTCTGTATGGAGTGATGAGTGTGGCTGCGGGTGTTTTCTGCTGCGCGGTCGCTGTGTGTTTGCGTGCGCTGCGGGTGGTGCAGCTTTGTAGTTTACAAAAGTCGTGCTGTGACATCCGAGTGGATTCGTGTATAGGGCGCTCTGGATTGTGGGGGGCGCAGTTATTTTTTGATGGGGTTGGAGGCTTAAGAGCGTGTCCAGTAGCCCGGAAAATACGGTAATTTCCTATTTTTATTATAATGTTTTCTTATCACAAGTTGTGTTCTGTCTGATCCAGAGGCGGGAGTCGAGTGTTTTTCAAGTCTCAAGTAAGTCTTTGACATCAAGTCCAAGTCAAGACCCAAGTCAAATACAGGCAAATCCAAGTCGAGTCTTGGGTCAGTGGCCCATAAGTCCAAGTCAAGTCCAAGTCGTCTGCTTTGAGCTTCAAGTCATTTCAAATCTTTAAACCAAAGAACCAAATAAAGCTTAGATTTCTGCAATTTATGAGTTTTAAGATAAATTGTACTTAAAAAAAAATCATAGTATATTTATATATGAGTAGTTATAGAGTAAATAAGAGTTGTAGAAATTAATTTAGTAAATTTTTCCCGTTTAAATGTCTTGACAAGATCTTAGAGTGACTTATTATGGTCAGAACAGAAAGAATTCAGATTTAAAAGTGCTTCTCAAGTCTTCTCAAGTCACGGGCCTCAAGTCTGAGTCAAGTCCCAAGTCTTTGACCTTCAAGTCCAAATCGAGCCCCAAGTCTTAGTCCATTTTATCAAGTCAAGTCTTAAGTCCTAAAAATAGAGTCCCCACCTCTGGTCTGCTCCACTGTGTTTTTAAAAGTTATAAATCTTTACTAGAATTATTTGGATAATTTCAGCCCTGGAATTGCCAATCTCTACTGAACTAAAGGTAAGCGGTAGCTGTTAACTTGACATCACAAGAACAGAGCATTTTCTGCTTTGGGGATGTAGCCAGACTAATAATAAAAGGTTACTCAGAAATGTGTGAATGAGACAAAACACAACTCTGGGTGTGTTTTAAGGAAGTAAGAACATCCTAACATGGCTTAAATCTCACAAGAGTAAATTTTCTGTAATATAGGACCTTTAAAGCCCATAAACATTAAGGTAGATTTACTTATCCATATTATTTTGGCGAATACATCTCTGTGTGTAGGTTTCATTCTCTGGGTTTTTTGTGATACTTACAAATCCGTCCATGGTCCAGGAGTCTTCTATAATTTTGGCAGGAGAAACGGCAGAGTTCTTGGCCTGGGTTCCCTGGTTTGGGTAGTTCACCTGGTACATCAGTAGAAGCAGCCTGGCCTCTGATGCTTTGTATACTCCTAAAATCAAGACAGTTAAAAATCATGTATGAAAAGTTAGTACGCATTTATATTCCAGCAAAGAATGTATGAAGACTGTTGACTTGCACTTTGTAAAATAACTTTTCAATGCAACCTCTCTATCCATAACAACATAACCTACTGCTTTTAAAAAGGAAAAAAATGGTATAAAACAGTAATCATTATAAGAAGCAAACCCTTTTATTATGATTTAAGTTTGGTCCTTGCTTTTGGAACCCTTGGAAACCCGCTGTGAACATTTAGAGACCCCTATGTTGGGAATCATAGTTCTTCGATCCTCGTGTTTTCATCCTTTAGACAAATTCATATAATTTCAAATAAGCCGCTTTAACCTCTCTCTGACCCAGCACTTGTAAATTGCTGCATTTTAGCACCACAGGTCGACTTGCCTCTGGTGTATTTCAGTGTTTGCCAGATTTCCCTTCTGCGGGGCCAGAAAAAGCAATGAGGAAAAATACTACTTCAGTCACAGGCACTGATAACAAATGTCCCCTCTTGCTTTCAGAAGGAAATCAGACGAGTATATCAGTGGTCCAGCTCCTCCAAAAGCACTGTGTTTTACTGGACCGAACTGACATCTTAATCTTGAGTGAAAAAAGCCGGGGTTATGCAGCTGGCCTTTCTGTAGTCTGGCTTTAGCAGTTATTGATCTAACACTGCTCCTCTAAGCCACAAGACGCATGTTAACTGTTGGGTTCGTAGCTGCATGGTTTGTGATATGGTGCCAGTGCTCTCTGCTCTCTACTCCACAAAACCAATTCTGTCTTGAGCAGGATTTGTGTTTTAATAGGGTCTTAACCTCCTGCAGTGTACAGCCCTGGGAGGCCCGCCAGCGCATAGGAGCGTGTTTGTGAATCGAGTAAGGGATGAAATAACAACAGCTGCAGGAGAGAGGAGATAAGCGCATATAATTAAAACTACTCAGAGCAGAGGCGGGCCATGTTTGGGCATAAGACAGTTTTTAAAAAAGATGATAGGACAAAGAAAGGGGCAGAGAGGAGCAAAGACCCACAACATGCACCGTAGGTAAAATCCTCCAGCTAAGGTAGTTCTAACCTGACCTAGCTCGAGGTCTGGAGGAGGGATGGTAAACAATAATGTAGTTTCTAAATATCCTGATAAAGAGTGTACGCAATAATCGTTTGTGGAACATTTTATATAATCGTGATAATCGCCAAACAGATAATGGCCATTTTATCAGCAGAATGTGCAGAAAAATCCTACTTATCCATGATGTTCTCTTCTAGATCATTGTTTCCCAAAGACTGGGTCCAAGAGATTTTGTTGAGGTTGCCTTATCACGACCTACATGTCGGTCTGCAATACATACAATACATCTCCGTGCACCCCCCGCTCCTCACTTTTTCGGTAGCACCACCTAGCCTAACCAATTTTCTGATTACACTGATTACTGTTTTTCATTGTTTAAACCTTGAGGAATACTAATTGTTCAGAGAGACACAATCACTCAGTCAACAATAAAATATTCTCACTAATGTTCAAAAATGCTCACAGATTTATTTTGTGATTTATGAATAATGTCTATGTCTGTGACTTTTAAAATATGGGCTCCCAGAAAAAAAGTTTGGGAAACAGTGTTCTAGATCACTGCTGTTTTCACTAAAAGCACAATACTATAATAGTTGTTTAAATACTGAACCTATTTATAATATTGAAATAATAATGATTTCTTATCCATGATATATCTGTGATATAATTATTACTCGCAAATATGTTGGCCATGATAATCGTGACAAATTTCAGTATCATCACCTAGACTGAAGATGGACCTCTGTGGCAATGTTCCTGATGGAATATCCCTGCAGCACTGAAGGATGGGTCATGCAGAGAGAGATAAATTTCCCTACAGGGACAATGTACCAGTGTACTTTACTTAGTCTTAGACCTCTGCCAAGGCACTAGTTAGTAAAGATGTGTGGTTTGTGTACAAGACAGGTCGTCTGAACGGTTCCTTTACATGAATAGTTGGAACCAGATTACATTTTTTAAAAGAACCGAATCTTTTTAATTTGTATGCATATTTATGCTTACACTGAACCAACACAAAAATCAGAACAAAAGCAGAGCAGGCAACACCAGTGAGAGCTTTGTGCACAAAAATAGATATTTGTCATTGTAATAAGAGTTAATGTTTACATTTTTATTACTGTAGTGCAACTTTTTACTTAGATTATACATAATTTCATTGGGTAAACACACTCCCGCTCTCAGTCTGAACCATTTTAAACACATTTTAGCCTTGGTCATTTCTTTCCGTGATTACTTTGTTGTTAAAATGAGATTGGCTTCTGTTGTATAAACAAATAGTTAGAGAGCTAGTCTTTTGAACAGCTCTTTGAAAGGAGCAGATCTAAAAGATTCAGATCCCACATAAAAGTAAGTGATTACCTTATTGTTTTAGGATCCTGACAAACAATATTCAGATGATCAGAAATGTGACAAAAATGTCAGGTGTCATACAAAAAGATTTTAAAAAAACTGTCAAATTAAATAAACAAGTGCTGACAAATCACTTTATCCCCTCATTTAAAAGGTTACACTAGGTTGTAACCTGTAAATGTGTTTATTATTTTCAGTCTTTTCATGTTGAAGCCATTTAAAGTAGTTTTTATTTTAATATGTATTATTTATTATTAGGTAATAGAAAAATAAAATGATTAAGCAAGATAAAAATGTATTTGATTGTGAAAACTAAATACTAGAAAGCAGGGGAATACCAACCAAACCAAGTTACAGGTCAGATCTGTGGAGACAAGAGGTCAGAATGCTTGTTTTTCTATGTATTTTTGAGCTATAAAACCATGTGTGATTGAATAAATGTAAGGTAGAGGTGTTTAATGTCATACTGTGGAGCATCCCAGGCAAAGCAATGGCGTATTCTCCATAGAAACAAGCAGGTGTAACCCAAAACTTACATAGTGCACCTTTAAACAATACATTTGATGCACTAATCTCAGTTATCTCCAAAGCAAGAATACAGCTGTACCACTGCTTATGTATATCACTATAGTAAAGATACTATGTCCAAACCTGTACTCAAAGATCCTCTAAACTTTTGTGGTTCTTCAAATGAACCACAAAAGTTTATGTCAAAAACTGCCAAAGAAGCAGCTCCAAATATGAATTATTTGTTTATACAAGGTTATTCTTTTAATGCGAGTGGGATGACACAGAAAAATACATCTGACCTTTAAAAAAATAATGAAAACACCCACAAACATTTTTGCACCCTCTTGCCTGTTTTTGAAGCGCAGAAAATATATTCAAATAAAACCACCAGAAAAATCAAATTAAATAGGGATATAAGATTGCGCAATGTAAATATATATTCATAATCCTGTCTTTAATGAATTGATATTTACTATTATATACCTTTTTTTCAGGCTTTATGCGATCCTTGGCTTGATTTATTTTTCTTCTGTTCACCTTTAGTGTCCTTACAATGATTCAGACGTGTACCCACATATACGAAAGCTACAGTAACCAGTACAAGGTAGTTGGTAATTATCACATGCCTGAAAGCAGCAGCTCCATGTTGCCGTTGCTAAGGGTTACGTTGACTCGACCCGTGCTGGAGTTGAAGCTGGTGATGCTCAGAGTCATAGGCTGCTTCCTCCCACGGTAATTATAGGAGCCCTTCCAGATGTAGTTAGGAGCGAAAACATCGTCTGGAACTAGAGCAGGTGAAGAGGAGGAAAGTTCATTTCAGAGAGGCGTCAAGACGTTTCGTGAGGATTATTATAAAAAAAAAAAAACTATAACAACACTGTGATATACTAAATATACCAGACCAGGGGCTGTGGTTACACTGTAGTGGAAATATTTGTGAGAGAACGAAGTAAGAGAGGAAGAGAGAGAGAGAGTAGAGAGAGAGAGAGAGAGAGAGAGAGAGAGAGAGAGAGAGAGAGAGAAGAGAGAGAGAGAGAGAAAAAGACAGTAAGAGAGAGAGTAACAGAGTGTGTAAAAGAGAGAGAGAAAGAGCAAGAGAGAGAGTAAGTCCTTGAGAGAGATAAAGAAAGACAGAGAAAGAAAGAGTAAGTGAGAAAGAGTAAGAGAGAGAGAGAGAGAGACACACACAGAGAGAAAGAGAGAAAGACAGTAATATAGAGAGCAAGAGAGAGATAAAAAGAGTAAGAGAGAGAGGCAGAGAGATGGGAGACCAAGAGAGAGAGAGGTGGGAGAGAGAATGAGAGAAAGAGAGAGAAAGTGAGAGAGCATGGGGTAGTCCCACACTGGGTTTTAGGCAGGTACAGGAGTATATACGCAGGTCATCATGACATAAATAATGAGGGGACGACTGGACAGTGAGGGGAAGCACCTGAGAGAGGAATGCCAGTTTCAGCAGAAAAGCACTGACTGAAACTGCAGCCAGATAATTATACATTACAGTAAATAATGTTAAAATGTATTTTGCTACAAAAACATTCACACCAAATCTGATGTGAGTAATTTAATGGACGATGATCAGAAAGAAGTCAGATGATTTTTGTGTTTACATGATATCTTAATAGTCTGATAACTTCCAGAAATTTGAAAATAATATGATTGTGAGTGCACTTGTAACCACCAATGACATGCCAATTCTGCTGAAATTCAATCCACATCTAATCCTGTTTTTGGTTGGTAATTGTTTAAGACTAGTGAAGCTGTAGAGGAAAAGAAAGATTGTCATTTTTGGCATCTAAATTAGTAACCTCATCATGTAGAATTGGACACTATTAACATGTGCCAGCAGATTTAAAGGTGCATTGTGTAACTTTTCTGGTGGAGGGTCTGTCAAATTCTTTTCTTCATGGAGATGTTATTGCTTTGTCTGGAAAGTTTCACAGTATGGCATTAAACCTTTCTATCTTCACGGAGACCAAATCAGACACAGTTTACAGGTCAGCTCTGTGGAGAGGCAACCCCACTTACAGTCAAAATGCCTGTTTTTGTCAGTATTTTTGAGCGATAAATGCACATGTAATAAAAAAAAAGTAAAGTAGATCTGTTTAATGTCATACTGTGGAAGACTCCAGGCAGAACAATGACATTTCCATAGAAATAAGCAGGTGATGAACCCCCAACCAAAAAGTTACATAGTGCACCTTTAAAGAATCCATTTCAAGTCAAAAGTAAAACACACAACCTTCGATATTTGTGTGGCTTTGAGAGAATGTAGTGGGGACTGTTTTATGAGATTTACAAAGTTGTGAGTTGTGTAGCTACAAATAATCTTGAATCTGCAGCAAGTTGACAGAGAACTTACAGTGAACAGAGCCAAAAACACAACAAAACCTGAACTTCTCAACACATAATTTACCACTGTGAGCATGGGGAAATAAATTATTCAAATGAACTCAGGAGTGCAGTTTAGTACAACAAAATGGAGGTACTGCAGCCTGTTTAAGAACAAGTGGAGTACAATAGAAGATATAGAAATAAACAAGACCATAGAAGACATCGAGGCTGAAAACATTAATAAAATGAACTTGAAAAGAACTGACCATTTAGTTTGGGGCTGGGAGTCCCTGTGGCCGGCTTCACTGGTTTCTTCTTCTCTCCAGCTGCAAACACATACATTTATATATAGTTTATATCAATCGTTTCAAGCTTTGTTGTTCAGTTTCTTTTCACACATTACTGTCATGGCAATCAACTTGACATTACAATACAAAAAAAAGCTTGAAAGAGAGTGGGAAGAAGTAAACCTTTTTTACTCCCACCCCCAGAGCATGGTTTGTTATGTGGTTGCTTTCACATAATTACAACACTTTTGTACTTAGTATTTGTACTGATACTGAAGTACTAATAAATCAAATATGTATACCATATTTTTATATTTACTATTATTATACGTATATCTGTATATATACCGTATTTTTCGGACTATATGTTTTTTTCATGGTTTGGGTGGTCCTGAGACTTATACTGCCAGTGTGACAATATATTAAAATTTTCACACTGACAGGGCCAAGAGGGCGTTTTAGGATTGTGTGCCAGTATCTGCTGCTCCTATTACTCTTACTATTACTTGGCTGTACTGCGAATGTCTCCTGCACAAAGAGCAGCTGTTCTGTCTGTACCATCACACCATTACATCTGTACCACTGAAAATGTAAAATTTAAGAGACTTCAATGACAACTGAAACCATCCTGTTGGGATTCAGAAAGACTGGAATAATTCTAACTGGAACTGATGCTGAGTCTGATGACAGCTAGATGACAGAAGAGGAAACATTGCTCTGTTTACCTCTGGAGGTCGTGGAGTTGCTCAGAAGCGAAACCAAGGATGAAGAATTCAATGGATTTAGTGAATTGGAGTGAGATAGAGAGTTTGGTAAACTTGTTCTGTCCTGTTGTTTATGCTATAGTTATCTGAACAACTCTTCATATGTGACATTAACAGTCTGTTGTTCTCTGCTCTATTGTTATTACTATAACTTGGCTTTCAACATAAAATGTCAGTTCCTGGTCTCTGATTTCATAAAATAAATTATAATATAGTCTGGTGAACATTTTTTCGCTGGTGCAAATTATACTCCGGAGCAATTTATAGACCAAAAAATATGGTAGATACATCCTGTATACACAAATGATAATAATACACACAATAACAATAACACCTCTGTAATATTTAACTTCATCCTATAGCATTGTTTATAACCTGCTCAGAGTTACAGTCAGCGTTAGTATGGATCCAATTACAAACCATGGTCAGTCAATGGCAAATCAGACAGACACTACACTACAGTATCAATTAGTCCTGTCACAACAACATATGATATATTGCTACAGAGAAATATTATGATAAATCACAATATTGAAACTACTTTGCTTCTGACACAAAGCAAGATAATTCCAGTAAACAAATTATTAAATAGACAGTATCATTAAAAGGCATGAGCAGCAACAAATATACAGCAGAATGAACCAGTAATTATGTATAGAAGTTATTATTCTACCCTCTACAGCACAAATGTATATTTAGATATTATGACATAATATCTAAATATAGCAAAAATCTCACCACTATTGCAAAGAAATTGTACACAACACAAATACTGAGTCCTAAAGTATATCATTCCTGCTTCTTATATTGAATGATAAGTCGATATTGTAATTATTGTGACAGGTCTAGTATCAGCCACATGGTATAATGTTGCCATAATACCATAATGCTACAGTATGTTATGGATCCACACCCCCACTCACCACATGCATCAGATAGATAAGAATAACTGCTTAATCTCTTATTCTTACTCATTTTTTTTGTTGTTGAGGTCATCCACCTGGAGGATAAGCCTATTACATACCAAATACAAAAAGTGGCAGATACCAGTTCTAATACTAGTCTCTGTGGTGGTGATAATGCTGCTCTCTAATTGGTGTAAAAGCACAATGGTCTTTAGTGTTTAGCAAAGCAATGCAAATATATTAACCGACAAACTGGGTGGCATATAAACTACTTTTAAAAGTGATCTTTAAACTGCTTAGGCTTTCAGTAGAGCATCTGCCATTGCTTGAAGATGCAGCCATGGTTGCCAATAAGTAAAAGCAAGCAAGAAAAAGAGCATTTGTCCTAGAATCTCAAATTGGATCAGGGAGTGCTCGGATTTTAAAGGCTACTTCCAGGGCACAAGGGCACCAGCCTTGAGGAAAATATCAGACCTGTGCACTTTTTCCTTCGACTCAGGTGGTTTCATCTTTCCCAAACTTTTCAAACTGAAATGAATATAAACTTGGATCTCATTTGCATTTACACTCTAGGGTGCATTTTTAAACACATCCTCATAATGTTTGGTTTCTTCCGTGCTGCTTATCTAACTATAAATCTCTATGCCTCCCACTCTTTTGGCTGAAAGATATCTGTGAAACTGGCTTTATGTTAGCGTGAGACTTTTTGAGATCTTTCAGTGTCATTGGACAAAACTGATTGGCCTGGCGCTTGCACAGAAGAAACTGAATCCGAACGCTCTTGTGCACCTGCTCCTCCTCCACACAAATGTCAAAATGCCTCCAGCACCAACCTGCTTTGAAGTTCAAATATAATTCTCTGAAAAAATCAAGCAAACACCAGCTAGTTTTAAGTGTTTGAGATCACCAGTGGCAGTAAAGTCTTATGTCAAACTGGGAGGATTGTTGAGTTGTATGGCAATGTTAATCTCTTTTGGTTGGCAACTAGTAAATCTGAAATACATCCATGAAAGGATGTGTTCACAAAAGTGCCAAATGCAAAAATATTTTACTACTTAACTAGGAAAAATTATATTTATTTGCCAAACCCCGCTTAGAAATTATCACAAATTAGTAAATGTCCACACAAAAATAATCTGAAGTGGTTTGCACTAATGGTTCTCAAATATCAAATTAAATGTTGCATAGCTCACTTCTATTAATGAATCTGACTTTTTTCATAAATTTCTTGCAAAAAATATCACTGGAAATGTGAGTATTTATGTATTTGAGACAATATTTGAAGAGAATTATTTACTTTTCTAGCAGCTTGTGTGGATCTACATTTCTTCTTCCCAAAAATTAATAATAAAAAAAAACTTGGACTAAATGATAATCCCTTTGTCTTGTTTTGTGCAGCCAAGTAGCTCCCCAGGAAGAGACGGCCCTCTCCAGATGGCCAATATGTCTCTGAGTCTGTTTGCTGACAGTGTGTCCTTGGGCATGAGACTTGTACCTTCTGGAACTGGGCCGTGATAAGATCTGAATTAAATCTGGGTGATGTAGATGAGAGATTTAACCGTTTTACCTCGACATATTGGCATCTTTCCGGTCCACGTGCCATCATTTTTGCACACTCGATGCTCTGAACCTCCAGCCAGGAAGTAGCCAGGCTGACAGCTGTAGACTAGGGTGTAGCCAAAGCCGGGCAAGTCCATCCCCACTACGTCCACGTGCAGCGGGCTCTCAGGCTGCTTACACGCATGAGCTGAAGACAGGAAATGTATATGGAAAGAAGTTACAATCAAAAGATGTTACAATACTGACTGAAATAATTAGAATAAACAAAAAACAATCTCAAGAGGTAAAAAAGGGCCCATATTACACTATTTTCTGATTATATAATGTTGTTTTCTCATCAAAAACATACTTGAAGTTATGTTTTGTTTCAATCACACATAAATCCTGTATATTTAGGCTGAATTCTTCTCTCAAACAGAATTCACCTTGTGACAAATTAAGATAGATTAAAACAGTTACTCAAACAAGAGAGCATGAAACAAAACACAACTCCAGGTTTGTTTTTGAAGTCACATTGATCTATTTTGTGTTATATAGGACCTTTATGTGTAGCTAAGATAAGATAAAAAAAAAAAAAAACACTTCTGGGCTCACATAAAAAAGCATTTCGGGTGAGTAAAAAGTAAACATTTTTGTTGATATTGGTTATTGACAAGTTAATAAGTGTTTTTTATACGTACGTATGCATTCTGGCTGTGTCCCACTCCACGTGAGATCGGGCTGGCAGGTTCGAGAGGAGGATCCCTGTATCAAGTGACCCGGCTGGCACTGGAAAGACACCACACTCCCCACCTGAGGGCAGACAAAACAACACAATGATAACGGAGTAGAAAAGCTGCTGGTGGTTTCCAGATGATATCACAGTATTCTATAGACCAATATTATTTAATACAGATGGGGGGCAGCTAAAATTAATATTGTTCAAGTGCAAAATTATCTTGCAATACAGTGAGTTCTAGGGTTTAGTCACTGATTGAAAATACCAGGTTTGGCATTTGCAAATGTACTTTTTGGATATTTAATGGCAAAATATAATGTAATCGACAGGGAAAACTGTCTCTTGCCCACCATCTGGGAGCCGCCATCGTCACTGAGGCTGTAATATTTTGCATGGGGCTGCTGATCTCACAGCAAATAAGTTTTGTATGGACTACAAAGCATCAAGTATCTCGGGGTCTTGTTCACGAGTGAGGGGAGGATGGAGCGTGAGATTGACAGGCGGATCGGTGCAGCTTCAGCAGTGATGCGGTCGCTGTATCGGACTGTTGTGGTGAAGAGGGAGCTGAGTCGAACGGCAAAGCTCTCGATTTACCGGTCAGTCTTCGTTCCCACCCTCACCTATGGTCATGAGCTCTGGGTAATGACCGAAAGGATGAGATCGCGGATACAAGCGGCCGAAATGAGTTTCCTCCGCAGGGTGGCTGGGCGCTCCCTTAGAGATAGGGTGAGGAGCTCAGTAGAGCCGCTGCTCCTTCACGTTGAGAGGAGCCAGTTGAGGTGGCTCGGGCATCTTTTCCGGATGCCTCCTGGACACCTCCCTCGGGAGGTGTTCTGGGCATGTCCCACTGGGAGGAGGCCCCGGGGAAGACCCAGGACACACTGGAGGGACTATGTTTCTTGGCTGGCCTGGGAACGCCTTGGGGTTCCCCCAGAAGAGCTGGAGAAAGTGTGCGTGGAAAGGGAAGTCTGGGAGTCCCTGCTTAGACTGCTGCCTCCGCGACCCGGCCCCGGATAAGCGGAAGAAAATGGAATGGAATGGACTACAAAGCCGTTCTAAAGCCTCCCAGAGAATCTGTGCAGTGTTGACTTGTTGGTGGACATACTTTATTTCATATTTTAGCTGCAAAACATTTCCTAAAATTCAATCCATCCATTTTCTTCCGCTTATCCGTGGCTGGGTCGTGGGGGCAGCAGTCTAAGCAGGGACTCTCAGACTTCCTTCACCCCAGACACTTCCTCCAGCTCCTCTGGGGAGACCCCAAGGCGTTCCCAGGCCAGCCGAGAGACATAGTCCCTCCAGTGTCCTGGGTCTTCCTCAAGCCACCTCCTGGTGGGACATGCCGGGAACACCTCCTGAGGGAGGCATCCCCAACAGATGCCCAAGCCACCTCAACTGGCTCTTCTCGAAGTGGAGGAACAGCGGCTCTACTCCGAGCTCCTCCCATGTGACTGAGCTCCTCACCCTATCTCTAAGGGACTGCCCAGCAACCCTCCGTTTGCTTGTATCCGCGATCTTGTCTTTTCGGTCATTACCCAGAGCTCATGACCATAGGTGAGGGTAGGAACGTAGATTGGCGGTAAATCGAGAGCTTCGCCTTTCGGCTCAGCTCCCTCTTCACCACAACGGTCCGATACAGCGACCGCATCACTGCTGCTGCTGCACTGATCTGCCTGTCAATCTCACACTCCATCCTCCCCTCACTCATGAACAAGACCCTGAGATACTTGAAGTCCTCCACTTGAGGCAGAGTCTCAGAGAGGGAAAGACACCTTTTTCGAGGCGAGAACCATGGCCTCAGATTTGGATTTGAACATTTCCCAAAATTGTCAATAGAAATGAGCACAGAGAAAGCGCAGTTTAGTCACATTTACGGCAAACATGGGCGGGTGGAAAATGGTCAATAAGGGAAATTTAAAGTAACATAACATAAATCATAATATACTTGTAAATAGTACTTTCTTGTATATAATTTATTCATTTGATTTGGAAGAATAAGCACCAGAATTCCACCATCTGGAACCACTGAGTAGTAATTGACTTGTGGTAAAAGAGAGAGAGTAACAAAAACTTATAGCTCTACAGCCTCTGAGACACAGCCCTGTGTTGTTCCCTGTATATACATAATGCAATTAAGTCAGAGGGAGAAGTTTAGCTTGGCCCTGGCTTCTTCTGGCTTCTACCCACAACAAATGAAGAAAGAGGTGATGATAGTAATGTATGCACAACCTCCTGACAGACACCGCACCGCTGCTGGCAGGTTGATAAATTTTTCCTTAAAAGTGTCAAAACCAAGAAAGTAATGAGCCACCTGGTGACATTTCTTTAGTCTGAAAATACTGTATTTCAACATCTTTTCAGTGAAGTGGGGATTCAAGTGTCATTTACAGTTCTTCAGCTCCTCTTATGCAAACCTAGCTCACCTTAGGTTAACCCACAGATTACTATGATTAGACTTTGCTTGCGTTGCAGAGCTAGTTTCAGCATTGCAACAGAAACACAGCAACGAATAACAGACAAAATGAATTTCACTGGACAACTATTTTTTTTTTGCGTTACATAACTCTGCCAGAATCACTGTTTTGAAAGAAATATCCAAACTTATTAACTACGCATTTTAACCTTATTGTTCGATAGGCATTGGCTCCACAAATTTGCCATATAAATCTACAACTTAAACAATATTTAAAGGTGCACTATGTAATTTTTTGGTTGAATGTCAGTCACATGCTTGTTTCTATGGAGATGCCATTGCTCTGCCTCATATTTATTCAATTACAGGTGGTTTTATAGCTCAAAAGTGGGATTGGGATTACCTTAGTCTGGTTTGGTCTCCATGATGACAGAAAGGTTTAATAACATACTGTAAAATATTCTAGACAAAGCAATAACATCTCCATGGACAAAATCATTTGATGCTCTCTCCACCAGAAAAGTTACACAATGAACTTTTAACAATTTAACAATCACATCTTTGTGGTTGAATAGTGCCCCATGTTCTGAAACTATTATGATTTTTATTTATTTTTCTGTTTTGTTTATCTACACTTGCAGAGAAGACATTACATTTTGTGTCAGTTTTGGTTTTATAAGGATAAGCCCAGTGATTATAAAACTATTACCAAAAAACAGGTCAACAAATCTGCAAATTCCACCACAGAATTCTCCTCGTACTTATACTAATATTTGATTTTACCTTGAATCCAAATGTTCGATTTAACGACCCATAGCGAGGCGTCCCGGGATTATCACAGCTTGTCTTGGTTGGCTCTAAAACACACAAAAAAAGAGCAAAAAAAGTTGAACAATTAAAGCCTTACACCGGTCCCGCACCTCCCATCCTTTCCTGTGTGTTGTCATGGTAACAGCAGCTCTCATACGCACAGACTCGGCAGCAGGGGGCAGTAGTGCTTCACAGTAAAACGAAGCCGGAGGAGCGCTTTCCCCCGGACTGTTTTGTGTGTGTCATCAGCATGTAGAGCACATCCTGACGCAGAGCCCGATTCAATACAGCTCTCTCCCTCTTCCTCTCCCCTTTTTACCTCCCTCCCTAACCTCGATTCTTTTACATCTTTTACTGTATCCCTCGCTTTTTCCACTTGCCCTCTTTCCAATCTGCAAATCCTTTGTCTGACTTATTTAAAGTGCACCCCGCTCTTGCTCAAAAGTCTTTGTGTACATCACGAGGCACAAACAGCCACAATCACACACTAATAAATCACTTTCGCATATAGCACCATGCATTCCCAAAACGACCAATAACACCTTCCACTCTTCGCCTTGGCCAAGACCTACTTCGAAATCAGTCTATTTTTAGTTTTATTCTTTAAGGTAGCTACAAAAGAGGCAGCTTTCATCTCCATTTAATCTACCATATAGAGGTATAAAAGAGGCTGTCCGTGTTATAGACAATCCCGCGTATTGCCATTCACGGCTAGTCTTGATTTCTAAGCACCTGCTCTGCATCAGACATGTAAAGTGGTGCTCTAAACATCACATGCTGCTGCTGGACAGACCCGCTGGGAGCATTCACTATGTGGGCTGAATATCTCCTTTCATTTGCTTCTTTAATCTGTAGATAGAGGGCTATGGATCGGTACAGACATAATCTATATGCTGTGGACAAAGGTGAACTTGGTGAGTGAGGTGAGGAGAATTCTGTAAATGTATGTAATATAATGTTCAGTTCATTACAGGACTGACACATACACATATAATGACAGGCTTGCGTAAATTCACAATGGAAATTATCATACTGACCACACATGTACTACGCACCATCTAACTTGGAAATGGAAAATTTTGCCTGGAATGTTCCACACTATATTCCTAACATTTATTCAATTACAGGTTTTATGTTGCCTACAGAAAAATGTTCCTTCTTGGTGTGAACACCTCGCCACAAATCCAACGGGTAACTTGGCTTGATGGCTTCACCTGCTAGTCTCCATGGAGATAAACATGTTTAATGTCATATACTATGGATCATTTCAGGCAAAGCAGTAAGTAGCAAGTGGGAGACTCTGCTCAGAAAATGTACATAGGGTTCCTATAACATAAATATAGCAGGGCAGATAAGAAACTGTTAGCAAAGTGGTCCATATAAAAGAACAGCAAAAAATAAGCTAAAAATCAAGATTATTATATGTATTTTTTAATTATTCAAATTTTACTTTTTTTTTGTAACTATGTTTTTATTGATTTTTAGCAATCATTTCAAAACAATACAGATCAAAACAATGTAAAAAGTCTGGAGTTACAGGTTCTTGCATTTGGTAATGTTACTTTAATGTTCTATGTTGTTTTACTGGTGTCATTTATGAATGCATTCTACTTTTTCCATTGCTCATCATATTTATACCCTTTCAGTTTAAGATTATATGTTATTCTTTCCATCAGTGAATTACTCTCCACAATCCTGATCCAGTCTTGTTGTACAGGTGGATCTAGTTGCAAGCAGCTTTTTGTAATTCCCTTTTTAGATGCAGCTAGAACAATTTTTGTCAGATACATGTCATCCTTCCAAATGAATTTTACATTTAGTTTCATCATCTTAAAGACAAGATAAATTATAATTTTGTAGATGTGGCTGGGCAGTATGGCACTGTTGGCCAGTGGGAAATAAAGTTAATTCTCAACCTAGTTACAAAATACTTGAGGCGTGTTAGTGCTGTGGTAACTACCTCTGACTGAAGGTAATGAAAGTGAGTCATAAACTGACTACAATAATAGATGTACAAATACAAGACGCTACTGTAATAGCATTAATAAACGCTTACGACTAAAACTGTTAAGACCGTTTAGGGAGATACAGTAATTTCCTGAATAGCCATTATCATAAAATGCATCAATAGCCAGCCAAACTTTTAAAAGGCCACACTGTTTATTTTGTTTAAAGAGCCTGAAAGTTTGAGTAATTGCTATACTTCAAACACAAAACATTTTAGTTAATCCCAATCATGCTGATTAATGGACTACTAAAAGCTGCTTTTTAATGAGCAGAATAAAGTCTGCACAAGAGAAAAGATAGTACATCAAAGACAATAGATCATGTATCTTAAAATAATTATTGTGTAACAGTACATTTTATTGTCCTTAGATGCTAGAGTTGGCTTTTAGTATTAAGATGTACAAATTAACTCACAACATAATTAAACATAATACATTTAAAAGCCCTATATTGCGCACAATTATCATGAAGTGGTAGTACTTAAGTTAACAGCTACCTTTCATCTCTATTTCAGTAGAGATAGGTATTTCCAGGTCTGAAGTTACCGAAATAATTCTAGTGAAGGTTTATGGAGTTTAAAAACATCCTGGTGGAACAGAGTGTTTTCTGTTTGAGAGAAGAATTCAGCCTAAATATGCAGGGTTGTGTCTTACGCTTGAATGAAACAAAACACAACGCCTGGTATGTTTGTGATGAGAAAACAATATTACAACATAGATCAGAAAATAGTGTGATACGGACTCTTCAAATGCACAGTAGCACGTATATATTTGGGTTATATAGAGGAGGACCGAGAGGAAAGGTCTGTCTGTTGAACTGTTTAAAGAGAGAGACGCCTGAGGAAAACCGGCCGGCTCAAGTGGGAACGCATGATTGATGGAGATCATCAGGGACTATTAAAACGCCATCAGTAAAATCTTAAATCAATTTTTGGTGAAGGTTAAAAGCCTCGGTACATACCAAACAACTTAGAGACTTCACTGACGAGGATATTATGTAGGAGCGTTTGTTAAAAGATAATGGTTCAACTAACTTTTCTGGTGTTTCTATAGACTCGTAATTGCTTTGACTTGGATGTTTCAGAGTAGCACTTATTATCTAGTGTTCATTTCATTATGGGTGCTGACAGCCTCCCCGTGCAATACTGTGGAACATTATAATCAAAGCAATAACATCTCCATGGAGACTTTTCCAGTGAAATCTTAATTTTGTAGTTAGTTGTTTGCTTCTAGTGCCACAGAGAATCATCCAGATGCTTCAGATTATATTATAAATCAGATACTCTTCCCGAAAAAAACACTTCCTTATTACAAAGAAACAAAAACACTAGAAGTACTGTAAGATACAACACTAATCACACAACTAGAGATCGTCAGTGGTAGAGGTGAAAAGCTTTCAGAAACTTGCACAAAATTATCTGAAAACAGGATGACTGAAAACATAACCCCGCAACCACTAAATGAAATGTATTAACTTTGAGACTAATTGGAGACCAAAGAGCACTGTGTTGTCCTTGCCTCCTCAGAATGAAATAAACAGGACTATTTACACTTACCAATGCAGCGAGGTTGAGTCCCGCTCCAGGTCCCGTCACTTTCACAGAGCCTGGTTGCCGTTCCAACGAGGATAAGAGGAGGGGCACATGTGAAGGACACTTCTGACTGATAGATGAAACTCCGGCCCTCCCTGAATCCTCCGACCAGGGTCCCGGGGTCGCCACAAAACTTTGCTGCAAACACACACATTCTCACTTGAGTCTGAAATGCTAACTCTGTGAAAGGCTCGCGGTCAAGGGCGTCCCAGATTGAGTTTGCTGCGGGGGTTTGGGAACTGTCAGAAGACTAATGGGCCTGATATGGACAGTTGTAATGTATGTTTAAAGTGTGCCACAGACTTAACATGTTCTGATTGTGAATGTTTTTAAAGTGCAGTGATTTTGAATTAAAAAAGTGTGAGATATGTGATAGTAGTTTGGTTTGTGTGTTTTGTTTTGCTTTGTTCATTTTCACATTGTTTTACTAATAGGTGACAAAGATTATAAACACTACGGCAATACACTACCAGTCAAAAATTTTAAAACACCACACCTTTTCCAGTTTTTTTATGGTTTACTGTTGACCAAACTGTATTCTAAAGTTTTGATTCATAAAAGTGTCCACCTTTGGCAGATATAACAACTGAACACACTCGTGGCTCGTTCTTTTTACAATAGAAATCAAATATTCTTCAGAAAGTTCTTCCCAAGTCTGTTGCAGAAGTCAGAAGTTCCCATAAATGTGAAGTTCCCATAAATAACTTGGAAAAATTAGGGTGTTCTAAAACTTTTGACAGGTAGTGTACATGTGAAGAAAAGCATGACAAAATATTCAACTAAAAGTACATGAAGAACTATTTCTATTCAAAGTTGTTTTATAAAATAATATGGCTACATTGTTGTCAAAACATTAGTAAATTGCATATTGCATATTTAAAAAGGTCCTATATTACACAAAATCCCAAAATTGATTCTTGTGAGCTTTTAGCCATTAGAGCAGGGGTCTCTAACCTGTAGCTGGGGAGCTACCAGCAGCTCTCTATCCCCTTCCAAGTAGCTCACCAAGGGATTTCTGAATTACACATATTATAACTCTAACCCTGAATAAGTAAAATTTGATCAATTAAATGCCTATTACCATTGTACCTGTATTATTTCGATACCTGACCTGACTTGTGACTGCTAAAACTAGTAGCTCTCTGGCATTTTCATTTTGTGAAGGTAGCTCACCGGAAGAAAAAGGTTGGTGACCCCTGCATTAGTATATTGTTACCTCATCAAAAACATACCTGGAGTTGAGTTTTGTTTCATTCACACATGCTTGAGTAACACTGTCTACATCTCCAAAGCTCAAAATGATCTTTTTCACCATGTGATGTCATGAAGCAGTAGTTTTCATGTTAACAGTTAACTTTTACCTTTCGTTCAGTAGAGACTGCAAATTCAAGAGATAATAATCAATTCTAGTGAAGGCGTATGAAGTTTAAAAACACAGTGGAGCACTTCCTGTATCAGATGACATCACACCACGGAACAGAGTGTTTTCTGTCTGAGAAAAGAACTCAGACCAAATACGCAGCATTTCTGTGTTAAACATGTGGGATTGAAACAAAACAACTCCAGGTTTTTGATGAGGAAACAACATTTTAAGATGGATCAGAAAATAGTGTAATATAGGCCCTTTGAATTCATTTTTAAGTATTATCATATTGTCAAAATTGTTTGACAAACTAAAAGTAATTACAAACTACAGCAAATTCCATCTCTGTTGCTACATCCACACTACTATAGTGTGGATGTAGCAGGTCTTTTCCCCAGCTGGCAGACTAATAGCCCATGTTGTATGTGTGTATGTGCATTGCAGTACATGTCAGAGGTTTGTAGGAGCTTACGTAAACACTGTGGCAGCATGCCGCTCCAGGAGCCATTGGCCACACAGGTCAGGACCGCGGGGAATGAGAGCTCGTATCCCGGCGAGCAGCTGTAACTCACACTGCTGCCCCACTCAAAGTCACTGCCCTGGAGGACGCCATTACTGATCGCAGGAGGGGAGGGACAGGTCACCGCTGGAACAGGGATTAAACACACACGCTCAAACACACATCGTAAACTTAGGCTGATGTTTGGACAACAGAGTGGCAGAAGTAATGTTGGATAGATGAATAATACAGTCACATTTATACTGCTGCAAATAACTAGTACAACAGGAGGTGCAGGTGTTTTATTGCATACTAAGTAGGGATGGGACGAGACACAATTTCCACGAAACGAAAAAAGACAAGATACGGGATTGGGTCCATGAGAACGAGGCAAAAGGAGATTTTGACATAATTTTTGATATGTACAAAGTCCGATTTAATTCCCAAAGCTGGCTAAAGAATTTGTACTTACTTCATTTAATATTTTTGTTGTCATTCTAGCAGTGCTTTTAGGAACTACATCTTCTCAAAAGATGCAGTTCACAAGCACAAAACCTTTTGTGTCCAATCCAAATGGGGAAAAAATCTCACGAGATTATTTTTCTCATGAGAGCACAATCTTGTAGCAATTTTGTCTCACGAGATCTTGTCCCATCCCTAATTCTTGGTGTGAGCAGAATCACCTCACCGCAGATCTGGCCTGTATGAGATTTGCAGGTCACTGAACTTATGATTCTGTGCTTTTACAGAGACAAACACAGACACGTGCGATCTACTTTCAACCTCCCACTCTTCCTATTTGTTGACTTTTGTTGATTTGAGTCAGGGACACATATATTTACACAATCACAGTGAAGAAAGAACATTCAGAACAAACTAAAATCTTTTTCGTTTTCCTTGCTGTGAGTCATTGGTATCATTTGCCAACAGAGATTTTCTAACCTGCACAGGTTTTCAAATGTTTGCACTGTCTTGACAAAGAAGTGGCTGATCTCTAAACAAGTTTGTCCACATTAGGGATGAGAGTGATTTGAATCATCAATAGCACGTGTTTACGTAAGTTTGTGCGTGTGCGTGTACGTGTGCGTGCGCATGTGAGCATGTTGGGCCCTGATAGAGGGTGGAAAGTAGCCTGATTCATCAGCTGGTTTCACTTTGTGGAAACCGCAGCATTAGGTTTCGTTCACTTGACGGTGGCCAGGTACTTTTTTTATTTAACCAATCGCTGCTATTTGGTGGTGACGAATATAATGTGCCAAATCCCGTAGGAAGAAGGGCAATAACGTCTTTCCCCTTGATAAAATTCACCAGACATTCTCTTGTTTTGGCTTTAAATCCTCGATCTCAGGAATCGTTGCCAAGGCTAGGTGGAAGGGGCTAAGAGTGCATGTGTTTGGTGTATGCTGTTTTTAAGAATAGTATTTGAACAACGTGACCCTAAGTAATAGCTGTTTTAATTTATTTGTGGTAAATTTATCTGTATAAATTGAATCTGTACTCGCCGTATTTCCACCAACTTGCTCAGGGACTACAGGTGTAAATTTGTATTCATGCTATAATCTGGCACCAGCATCTTTCCTATAACTTTTGTCTGGGTTAATGTATTGTTGTGCACTGTCCCTGTACAAATAAAAAGCATAGATACTATACTATACCATACCATTTAGTTACGTTTTGTCCATGCTGTGATTAAATCTGAATCATGCCTTCAATTTGATGTTCGATGTGGCTATGTATGTTTCTATGTTGCCGTTTCCTTCCTGATCAATAAAGTATCTATCTATTTAGTTAATATTATGGCATTTATTCATAAGGGAGACCAGTTCTTACCTGAGCACATGGGCATGTTCCCACTCCATGTCCCATTCTGGGTGCATGCCCTCACAGGCGACCCATCCTCCTCCATTCTGTACCCGGGCTGGCACTGGAAGGTGATGTTCTGACCAATGGTAAAGTCTTCTCCATAACGAAGACCATTAGCGGGAACACCAGGATCACCGCAGTTTATCACTAAAAAGAAAATAATGCCATGAGGTTATGCATTTTACATATCATTCTTTTATTAATGTGACAAATTTGCAGTTGTTATTTTTTCAGTCATTGTAGAAATTTTCCAGTAATGTCAATGTCAAGTGAATACATGTTATTTAAGTTATGATCAATTAGATTTAAATGAAAATAGCGACAAAATGACCTTACTCTTAAACCAGTGGAGCAATAACGGATTCTTATATGAAACATTTTATACCAGCTGCTTGAATCAGAGTTCAGCGTATAGAACAATACGATGAAATTACACTGTATATGAACCCTGTAATTATCCAAAGTGACAGAGGATGTTATCACCATGTGCTTTCCTGGCTTCAGTCATGAATGAAACAACAGCCGTGGAGGCCATTGTCCTGGGACTCTTTTAGGGAACATTAGGATTCCCTGGACTGTACTTATACAACCCTGTCCTTCATAGTCTAATAGGCACTTTAAAGGCTTTTAAACCACCCCAGATACTGTCATGGCGGTTAATATATGTACTGTAATCTATAGTAAAAGACGTTTCCTTTCACTCAGAGGTTTTTATCAACTTTTATTAAGGTTTTATGGAAGGAAGTTTAGGTTCTCAGCATTTCTTATCTATGCTCATTTCATTTCAATATTTGATTATAGTGTGGAGTTCAGATTGTATTTTTTCAGTAAATTAAGGAGTAAAATGTCAGATCAAAAACAAATGTTCACATATTCACTTGTTATATTAGTATGGAGACTCAGAGAACTTTTCAACAATACATCTATCAACTTGATAAAAAAAATCATATAATTCCTGTTTATTGTGGTGTAAAAAATAGATACAAAGTTGAAACCCACAACAATTTAATTTAAAACTCCTTTTGCTTTTTGTCAATTACAGCCAGTAGATGAGAGGACGAGATAAGTGGGCTCAGGAAAATGCTGTATACATTTTGGGATCTATTAAGCATTACATTAACATCTGTACAACTCAAAGTGACATTTCATTTGGGACCTGTTTTATTTTATGGTGATTTACTCCATGGGATTCCGCTACCAAGTTCAGAAAGCAAATTAGCTAAAGTAAACAACGATCAAGGTTATTCATGTCACTCTATAAAGTCAGTGGCGAAGCATGAAGATTTGAGGCTGATTACATTATTTAGAGCTTCTACTGTCGTGAATAATTTAAACTTAGGGCATAAAGTAGAGTTGCAAAAGGCAGAATGGAAACCTATAATCACACATCAGGAGTTCTGCACTGTTTACGGGCTGCAGACTTGACATCACAGAAAAGATTTAGGACGACTGCTATATATAATCAATAATACACACAGCCCAAAGACTGATTTCAGAGCAGCTTTGAGACTCTGCTGGAGAAAACGTTCAATTGAACTTTGTGGTAGTTCACTCACGGGGCGCGCTAGAAAGACTCAAACTTTGAAGTCCAGTTCTCTAATTAAAAGTGAGCTTGGGACATTATATCTATACAACAAAATACAGTTTGGTGAGTATACTTTGGTGGTGGAAAGTAGTCGTTTTGTTACTGGAGAGTTAGTTGTTCATTCCCAGTTCAGAATTCTAGAGGTAATAGAAGTCATTAGTTTTATATAGTGCTTTTTCCAATGCTCAAAGTACCTTTAGAATCCCATGAATTACTCATTGATTCCATACTTAGTGGCTCCTATTGTAGCCGCAGCTGCCCTGGGCTAGACTGACGGAAGTGAGGCTGCCAATCTACACCAGTGGCCCCTCCATCCACCACCAACACTCAGGCATGCACCACATTCAGACTGGGCAGAGTGGGTGAAGTGCCTTGCCTACGGACACCTGGTACCACTGGCACCTGATATTCCCAGTGGTCCTTCATCCAAATACAAACCAGGCCCAGCTCTGCTTAGCTGCTCAGATCTAACCACATCAGGCTTTGACAAGCGGTTTACTCACATGAGGTGAAGGAATAATTTAGTAAATAGGAATTTGTGGTCGGTCAGTCTGTGACAAATTCAACTTGAGGCAATACTGATCACGGTCCAGTCCGTTATAAAGTGTGCCAGATTTGAGATGCTCTCTTCAAAGTGAATGTGCTCATTGTATGTCCCTAATGCCCAGGGCTGTAATATAATTGCCTATTGCCAGTACATTTTGTCACTGAGGTCTACCCAGAGATTATGTTTGATATAATACCCCATACAGATATGTAAATGTAATCTCCTAGTATCAGCTCATTCATCAGTATCAGCTCTGTGCTAAGGGTATAATATATAAAGCCAATGTGTAAAAAAAAACACATAAAACAGTCATCTTTCATAGTTCAAGTGTTTTCCATAGTAACTTACACAGTAACTATTAAATCCAAATAAATATTTAAATCACATAATTATGCTTACTGGTACAGTTGGGCTGAAGTCCTGACCATGTACCATTGGCCTGGCACAGCCTGGTGGTGGCACCGGTGAGTATATATCCATCCATACAAGAGTAGATGACAGAATGTGAAAATGTTGTCCCATCCAAGCGATAGACTCGGCCATTACTGGGAGTGCCAGGGTTACCGCACTGGACAGCTGGAGAGAGGGAGACAGTGTTACGCATCTCAATGAGTCCATTCTACACACAGCACTTAGTTTAAAGCCCTCTTTATAGCTCTATACACAGCTAGGCCCCAGTCAAGGCTGTAGGTTAAGGTTGATTATGTAAAAACAAGTGTGCCGGCATACGTTTACAGAAGGGCTGCGTTCCCGACCACGTGCCGTTGGGAAAGCACATCCTCTCTGCAGATCCGATCAGCTCGTAGCCCTCGCCGCAGCTGAAGAAAACCTTGGAGCGGATCCGGAAATCTGTTTGTTCTCGGGAGCCGTGGGAGGGAATGCCGGGATCACCACAGGAGCCAGCTGTGTCGCCTATAGAGACAGACACTTAAGACCCCGATACACATCTCACAGTCTATAATTCAGATGCTTCCGGGGACAAGAAGTGGGAATTGATTTACACTGATTGGATTATACAAGAAATAGGAATGTGAAAATACAGAGAATGCAATATAATACATGAAAAATATTGCTTGTTCAAAATAATATTACTCAAGTAGAAATAGATGCACTTCTCAAATCACTCTGAGTAATTTCAATGTTAATTACTATTCTATTATTAGCCTCACCAGTTACTACAAGAAGACATATTATGCTTTTCTCAGCTATATAGTTATAATCTATTTGCCTGACCAGCCAGTTCGTTCTACATTCTGTTCGAATCCAAAAGAGGATGAAATGGGACCATAGAGCGTGAAAAACCTCCGTCCACACTTGAGACAATCCAACCACAGCTGATAATTTGTATCATGCCTCTCAAATGTGGAAGACATTGCCTCTTCAAATTTCTCATCTGTCAATCATGCCCTCTGAAATCACGGAGACAAGAGACAGCTCTAGATCTCGTCTTTGTAAAGTTTTGTCAAAGCGCGTGGTTCGGGCTGGCCAGGTAAATAATCTATGGCAGAGGTTCTCAAACTTTTCACACCACAAGTACCACTTCAGAATTAATTTGGCTTTCCGAGTACCACCAGTGGACTATTTAGGTCTAAATTTGGGCTAACTCAGGTGTAAAATTGGACTACATCATTGCCACAGCAGTTTTGACCGTGAAACTACCCAACGGAGGACTAAAAAGTGGGTAAACTCTAAATTAAGCAATTATTAGACTATTATTAGACTAGAGGACATTGTGTACCACTAGAAAGAGCTGTACCATAGTTTGAGAAACACAGATCTATCAATGGCAACGCTGACTCAAAATAATGCACAAATCCCTCTACACACTGTACATCTTTGAGTAGGTACATGTGAAAACAAAAAGGGAAATAATTACAACAATAATACAGTTGAAAGCTCTTAAAAGTCAATGTTGCATAATACGTCCCCATTACTACCACTTGAATATTTTTTCCCGTGATAAACCAGGCAATGGTCTAGATAACAGTCTTTCTAAGTTCATAGGTTTGCCTCAGAATCCCAGAAGACATTTGCAAGAGTGGGCAAAGGGGGTTATATAAGTAATAGCAGTCAATTTTCTTCTCTTTCTATTGGTTTGTCCATGCTTCAGTAATCATAACATGAACTTTATACAGTGAAAAGTCTTCCACTGACATTTTTAGCACAACACAGACATTTCGTGCTCCTTGGTAGACAGTGCATGCATGTTGTTGCACAGAAATAGTGGGTCTATAGCAGTGGTGGAAGGTAACGAAGTAAAAGTAGTAGAGCACTGTACTGTATTTTTAGGTATCTGTACTTTATTTCAGTACATTTTATAGTGGATACTTCTTACTTTTACTTCTCTACATTTGAGAGCAGGTATGTTTACTTTGTACTCCACTACATTTTTAACTGGACTGAAAAGTAAAAGTATTTTTCATTATTGTTTGAGACCTGCTAAACAGTCTGAGGGGTTTATTTTTAAGGCGTGCATAATACGAGCAAACAAAAATACACAAATAAAAACAGCTCAAAAACATTTGTGATTAAGTTTCTGTTGAACAAAATCCGTATTAAAATCATACTTTTGAAGCCTTATAAGACCTCAAAATCTGTGTGAAATACTTTTACATAGGTACTTTAATACTTTGATACTTGAGTAGATTTTTACATGTGATCCTTTTACTTTAACTTGAGTATTTTTCTGCTTTGGTATCTGTACTTTCAAGTAAAAAAAAATAAGTACTTCTTCCACCACAGGTCTATAGCTTCACCTTTGTGTTCTCTTTCTATTGGTTTGTGGAAGATTGAGTAATCATAACATGAATATTATACAGTAATTTTTTCACAAGACAGACATTTTGTGCTCAAAAACACACAAATAAACACACCTAGAAAAAAAACAATAGATTCAGTTCTTAGTCAGTACTTTTGAAGCCTTATAAGATCTCAAAATCTGCATGAAATACTTGAAGTACATTTTTAAACAGGTACTTTAATACTTTTACTTGAGTAGATTTTTTCACGTGATACTTTTACTTGAGTAATTTTCTGCTCTGGGATCTGTACTTTTTAGGGATCTCACGGTATGATATTATGACGATATGCATCTCACGGGATGAGATATTTTCAAGAGGCTAATTTTGGTGTGAATTATTTCTGTCATAATCCCAAGAATTCAAGTAAAAAAACATATCTTCATGTTGTCTGCACTGAAATTAATCATGGGATATGTAGTTCATTATGGTTATAAGCTGTTGCTACTGTAAAACCAGGCACTTAAGCAAAGGAACTTGTGATTTGATATACTGTGACAGCCCACGATATTATTGTGAGACGTTTGATGATACGATATCACAATATTTTGGTTATTGTTACATCCCTAGTACTGTTACTTAAGTAACAAAATTGAGTACTTCTTCCACCACGGGTCTATAGCTTTACCCTTGTGTTCTCTTTCTATTGGTTTGTCGAAGATTAAGTATTCATAACACGAATATTATACAGTAAAATTTTCACAAGACAGACATTTTGTGCTCCTTGGTGGACAGCGCATGTATGTTGTTGTCCAGAAGTAGTGGCTCTAAAGCTTCGCCCTTGTGAAGGCGCCTGGTCAGCAGATTCTCCTGACAGACATAGCACACTACTGGGACTGCACACTGTCACCCAAACACACAAGACTGTATTCTGCTCTACAAAAAGGACAAAAACTGCAAGCTATTAATTTTTAAACTAAGCATACACATTACACCCAATCATTAGTCATAATATAAATAAAATATGGAGCGACGACCACATAATGCTTTACATGATAAGCAGTCACAGAGGGAGCTACTGCGGTGCCTTTGGTGATTTTTCTATATACTTTCTGACAAATAACCTTATTCTAAAAAGTCTCTCCTCGTACTACACTCAAGTATCTAGGGGCTTGCTGCTAAATTGAGCATACACACTGCACAGATACAGCCCTTAATGGCATAACTGTTGTCACGCCTCAGGGTGTATGAGTTGTGGGTTTCTGCAAAAAACCTTTAAAAATATTATGCGTGAGAGTATAAACAAAAACAAAAAGCAATGAAGTGCAAATCTGATAAAAAAACATTTCTTGTGAGTTCATGGCATCGGACCACAATGAATGATTTTAATTTTTTTTACAGTCCTAAGTTCAAATAGTGTAACGGTTGGGTCAAGAAGTATATTTATAGTAAAACTGCTGAATTTGGTAACTATGCACCTTTGCACAGAGCTGGTGCTAGATAGTACGCTCAGGATCTGTGCTGGACTAAGGTAAAAAGCAGCTGTTAACCTGAAAATGGCTGCTTCATGACATCACAAGGTGGAACAGAGCATTTTCAGATTTGGATATGTAGGCCTTTAAAGTTAAGGTTAAATTTCAGGACAAGGTTGAGTCATCACTTCCGGCCCTCTCCCCATGAACCCTTATAGAGTCCCAATTTTTTCTTGAAGACCTTCCAAACACACTGTAGATACAGGATATATATATTCATAAAACTGCAGTAGGAGGGGGATGGTTAAGGATAAACAAAAAGTGACAGATCATGCATATGTAAAAAAAAAATAAAGTGCCAGTCTTGTCCTAAAAAGCATAACTTTACAAACAAAATGACAGCAGCTAAACATAGATGTAAAAGCATCATGTAACTGTCTGGACAGGTCCTATGGGAGACCTGACACGCCTGCTCGCTCTCACCACTCCACAGTCACCAGGAGGCCTCAGGTGGATCAGGTCTCTGTGGGAACAACCAATCTGCCTCATGTCAGCTCAGTGTGTGTGGAAATGTGTGTTTGTGAGACTGTGTGTATATGTGTATATTTGTTCCCAGGCTTGTCACAATAATAATACATCGAATTAACACATGACTGATGGAACAATACTTTTTGGTCAATATTTATCATCTGCACTTTTTCCTCGCACTAATGGAAAAAATGTGTTTATTTTTCTGTACTATAGTAAGATTTGATTTGTAAAGGGTTGAATTATGAACTTTTATGACTCATTATAGAGCCAAAGTAACTATAGCTATTTTCACATACACACAATGCCACACGACTTTTCTCCTCACATTCTCCCGATGGCCCGTTTGTGTGAATGGTGCACCAGCCGTGTCTTCTCCGGACATTAAATGGAGGTTTAACTCTGGTGTGCAGCACATGCACTAATCAGCTCAGCGGCTGTTTTGAAGCAAGACGCACGAACAAGGAGACAAAGGCACAAAGATGACTCCTGACCGAGAAGTGGACAGACAACGACAATAGAACTGATGTGTGGCTGATGCTGACATCTACTGAACTGTGTGTAATGCCAGAACACATGATTCACATTATTTATTTAGATATTTATTGCTAGATTATATGCATTTGAATATTTGTTTAGCCTGTTTATTAAAAGTTGTAACCAATTTATTTTTTGTTGACTGTTTAGTGTTTATATAATATTACATTTATTTTACTATTCAAGAAAGTTTGATTACATAAATCTGGTCACATATTTTACAATGAAAGAAAATTATGGTCTTCGTCGTGTTTTCATCAGCTATCAGCTAGAGTGAATAATCATTAAACTGTGATTTAATTGTGATTTTTAATTGCAATTGTACTAAAATATATATTATAACATCTCTTGTTCATACACACAGACACACACAGACACACATCGACCTTTGAGATTTTTCTGTGATAATTAGACTAAATATTTGTAAGATACTTCTTCTATTCTATCCTCATGCCTGTTTGTAAATATGCACACAAATATAGTCACACCACATTACTAGACTAGATTAGATAAACACTAGCAGTGGCTGAATGATTAAAGCATTTCACACCCACAGAACTAAATTGGGTAAGACACTTTGCCCACCTGGTGTTTGTATGACATCTATCACAATTAGAGAATTACAATTACAGAAATA